ATTTAATGTTATTTAATTTTATTTATTGTTATTATTATTATTATTAATATTATTACTATTATTATTATTTTTATTATTATTATTAATATTTTTATTATTATTATTAATATTATTATTATTTTTATTATTGTTATTAGTATTTTTATTATTATTGTTATTATTATTATTATTGTTATTATTGTTATTATTATTATTGTTATTATTATCATTATTTTTATTGTTCTTATTACTGTTATTATTATTACTCTTATTATTATTATTTTATTTAAATCCACATTCCATAGAGTTCTTTCACCGTCACTTGTTTCACTATCGGTTAGACCCGTGCATGTTATTCCAAGTTTATGATTCATCATATTGCATCTCCTCTCGGGATTCACTGATCGCGACATAGCCACACAGCGTAATGAACTGAAACAGGATGGTAGTGCTGCACCAAGAGATTACTCGACATCGAGATGTTGGAGGGGGTGCGAGTACGGTAGACTTGATTTTAGTAGTGTTCCAGCGCAGTTTTGTATTTACATACCTCAATGCTGGAAGACTTATGCATTCACTCGCAGACGTATGGTCAGCAGAATAGCAGAATTAGTCCGTAATTGCGCTTTCGTTCGCCAAAAAAATAGCTCGCTAAATCGCTATCCAACGGGAATAGCATCCGTTATCGCTATAGAATTCTGAACACGATAGCACGCTAATGTCCATCTCTGATTATTACCCATTTCTTTATTGAACGCAACTGATCAGTTTATTTGGCCTCATTTATTCGATAAGCTAAATCAGAAGAGTAAATAAACAGATACGCATGTTTTCATAAGTATGAATAAAACGAGTTGATTACTGACAACTGCTAAACTTCTATTGTTCAAAATTATTCGTTTCATGTTTCACAACACCTTTTTTGAGCGAAAAAGTTTCAGTTAAGCGGGAGTAATAGACTGTAATCAAGTTTTCTAATTGTGGAGATAAGCTTCAGAAAACTTGTCAATCAGTATGTTCTTTTTGAGAATATCATTGCTCTTATTTCCTGTCTCTTCTCACAACACCCAGTAATATGTGGTAGGCAAGTTTGGAGTGGTGGTGAATGGTTAGAACAATCGTAAGTTTAGAGATTGTCAAAAACAAATATGAAAATAAATTTGAATATACAATAATCTGAATATGTAATCATATACAAACACACACACACGATGTACAGCAATCGATAAAGCTTCAGTACAATACCCGTTTCAAGAAAGCAATACAAAAGAGTAATGAAATGGAAACAACTTGATAATAATGTCAAATTCAGTGTTGCGATATGCATAAGACATGACTTAACTAATAATCGTTGTTGTCGTTAAGAGTTCATGTGTTTGATGATATGAATGCCCATAAATGAGTACAGCAGCAAAGGTGTACTGTTGAGTTTTAGTTGACACTTTTGGTGATATGCTTCCATACGCGATCCTATTGGATAGACATCCAAAGGTTTTGAACTATGACTACACAGCATTGCATTCAGTAAAATGCACATTATATCATCTACATCAGGCACTTCAGCTAACAGCTCTCTAGCAGTTCAGACCCGAAGCGTAGCTTGGAACACTGTAAACAACTGGCCCGCCTAGCGGTAAGAGGAGGGGGTTTTGACGTCTGAGAGCCTCACGGTATAATAAGCACAGAAATATCTGTGAACAGCATAAAAGAGTGGTTCGTAAACTACAGCTTGACGCCCGATGATAGACAGATGATGAGGAGCAATAGATGCAGATGGCAATGGCCTCAATTGATTGAGCCTTCCGAAAATGGCTCAATTTGTTCGAGAATGGAGGAAAAATGATGAAAAGAAAGAAGTAATGGGCATTTTTTAGTTGAAAGAAGCGGCGATAGGCCAGAGTCAAGAACAAGTCATTGTAAAAGATATCTCAAATTGAGACGATTATAATCACAGTGAAGTGAGAAGGCAACCATAGTGAAATGCGATAATATGAATGAATTAAAAATCTGTACGTGAATAAAACACATTTTCACGAAATACAATAACGAATGCGGTAACAACGCGTGAAAACGTTGGAGCATATAAATCCTCGATTGAAATTGTACATTGCATGAAATGGTTGGATTGCTAGTCCCATGGCCACCACCTGTTGACCATCTTATAGAATTGTCGGTTATAGGCGAGGAAATTCTTGCGAAGCTTTTGCTGACTATGCTGCGAGATTTGAGCATGCGCTCGTCCTTTTGTATTGCCCAAACACTTCGCCGTGCGATGGTCTTTTTGTCGAAAGCAGTAGAAACCTTTACGTCGATTGAACACCACTTGATCCTTATCAATACCATTTGCAGCGACCCGCAGAAAACGCTCGACTTTTCGTAGCTGAAAAACGAATGAAAATTTGCCAATTCATTGATGCTCCTAAAGATGAGAATTACTAAATTCATTTGTTGATACCACTATTACCATCGTAATTTGTTAGATTATGAACCATTAGAAGTGATCTGATTACTGTGCCAATGTTAGTTGACTGTATCAAGTGATATTTTCAACGATATCTTCTAGAATCGACTGAGATGGGGACAAATTGACTGAATGGGAAAGTCAACACTGACAGACAAATGCCGAATTTTGGGTATCATTCAATGTTTGCAGCGTATCCAATGTCTAACAATCGAATGCTACAAAGGTGAAAATGCGAAACCTCGATGAGTGGTTGCAGCACGAAACGATCACCGTCGAGAATCAAAAAGTTCTGCAGTGGAAAGTATTTCAGCCATTCGCGCAGATGCAGTGAATACAACGAATTCCTGACAGGCTTATAGTCCACATTGATCGTTTGTGCGTCACTCTGAAGGAACGCTTCAGTTTCGAAGTCAGGAAGTGTCTTGTTTCGCTCTTGTTTTGTGTGTATCACCTGAAATCATCATCTAACATTACTCAATTCCAATTCTTTCATGACAATCGCCTATTGTATTGCACTCGAGGCTTGAATATCCATCCACAGAACATTCGCTACCTTTTATATACCCAATTAATCAGTGATCGTTCCTGAGTTGAATGTCCATCTAGGCCCAGTTTTAAGCCATAACTCTGAAGACTAAGCCCAATCTTGGAGTGAGCTTCAGCTTAAGCCTAATCTTAAATCTTAAGCCTTAGTCCTTAGTCTAGGCTAAAGCTTGTCCCCCATGCTTCATAATGTTCAGTCGCCTGGACTGAAACAGAACAACAGCCTAAGCATGGTTGCCTCTTCCGAAAGGATGTCAAGAGAGTTTTATAAAATTACAAAATTATCGGTTAAAAAAGCTTAATGGAATATCAGTAATATGTCTTCAGTCAACATTCCGATTGCTCGATGTTTTGAGGTCGACCTTTTGGTAATAATCGACGGACGATATGATCGAACTCGTTGTTTTTCTAAGTGCATTTGCAAAAAAATGTTTGCAAGTGCTCGAAACATCAATCTCTGACGAATCTACGCACAATCGCAACCAAAACAATTGATGTTGAAGTTGTTGAGATGGAGAGGAACACTTCAGAATGCGAAAAAACCTTGCTCAGATACATGTGTTGCTCATCAATCAACACTGACGACTGTTCATGTAAATGCTATCTCTGCACATGTTCGTTTGTTTATTTAATCATTCGATCATCATTTACAGTAAGTAGCTCATTACAAGTAAATTAATGCTTCTTTATTATCATCATCTATCATTTGTCTCGTCTTTTACTATCCATCTCCCAACAACTTTTCCTCTTAAAATAATATTCCACAACACACGAAAAAAAGTCCTCTCGAACTTCCTCAGGCAATCCATCTAATAGTAGCAAAGGTTACAAGACCATTCTTCCGCTGTGCCCCAAAGAAACTTGCATAGAGTAGCTTATAACTATTTTCATTGTCAGATTTCAATATTTCTGGTGTCACGTTTCAATTTTGCGACACAGTCTTCACTAACAATTGCACACATATGAGTCTGTGAGAGAAATCTTATCCTTGTTGGACTGAAATTCAGAACTTAGGTTTAATTCATACTAGACAATTCACCTGAGTGAAGTCGCTGATGGCTCTCGTCACCGGATCGCGAACAATCAGAATCAACTTCACTGTCGAGTTCATACGATACGCACGTTCGGCAGCGAATTGATTTGTGAAATAACCAGGTGTCTTCTCAATTGTCACCTGGAATTTGCTCGCTTGTTGTCTCTTCATCCAATCAGCTATGCCTAATTTATTTGTCAGAACTGCACCAAAACTGTTGAGAGCGTTCTTATCCTATCTCAATCAGCGAACCCTTTTTTGTCCAAGTGACCTGTCTGCAAAAATATTTCTTTGAAAGGGACTTGAGGTTTGCCAAATATCCAATCAATCTTCTACAGTTCTCCCTCTGGGATGCTTTTTGGGTGGAATTTTGCTAGCGTCCGATGGCTTATTTGGTCTCATCCAAGATTGATGTTCCTCACCTGTCCATCGTATGTAAAAGGCATTTGTGATCGGTACCAATCAATTCCTTTCGCATACGTTTCGTTGCTGTTGAAAAAATGCATCTCACGTCGCGCCACACGAATTTGAGGATGTAACGCGAGTGCGTCCAGCAACGCCCTCGTGCCGCCTTTTCGAACACCGATTATCAGACATTGCGGCAACCTTTGGACGCGTTTCACTGCGGCCGATGGTGACGGTAATGGTAGACTGAAATTTATGAGTTGAGCTGCATTCAAGGGCCAAAAAATCGCGAAGACAGGAGAATTTAATTAGGAGATGAACAGCTTCAAATTCGAGGACGCAGTAAGCAAAAATTTCAATAACGATTAACGAATAAAAGTTCAGTTAACTTCTCATTATTTGATCAATCAGAGCATTGAAGGGATTAAGAGAAGCGTCTGGCAGGAACTTTCAAGCAGGGTTGAACATAAGTGGATTTCTTTAGTGGGTAAGTTTCTGGAAGAGAGAGCAGGGGAATAGGTGGGAGATTCATTGATGGCATACCTTTCTGATACAACACCATTTGAGGCACTCGCATATTCGACATCGTATTGTCCGTAAAGTGGCGATTCACTCAACGGTGTTGTGCTAACTTTGACACTCATATACGATACATTCACAAGCACCACTAAGGCCAGAACTAAGCATATCGGCGGAATTACGGCTCTCAATTTCGACAAATCCATACTGCTTTGAACAACCGCATTAACATGTTTGCTTATGTGTGCTTCGACCCTGAAGTTTCATTGGATGGAAGTGGCCAGTGTGGAATTCAATAACGAAATCTAGACGAAACACGATATGAACGAAACGGATCTGCATGAAACTGGATATCGCAAAAGCGGATTGCGAAAGCTGCGGATCAACAAGCGTTGGCTTCTTGTGGTGCTTTTTTTTCTGACTCAGTTTTGTCATACGCGTTAATATCGGCCATCCACATGATAAATGACTGTGAAGCACTGCATTATTCGATCAAAAAAGACTGACATTTCGGTCGATTGACCATCAAAGCAAAGGAATTGATAGGGAGAGCGTAGAGGCAATCATTTGGGGCCTTCCTTTGGTTATGCCCCATCTTACCCTTCGAGTAACTACTAAATGCCTCCTTGTAACATCTTTTGAATCCATGCAGATTATGGCTGTTAGCGGCGAGCACATTTGAAAAACCGTTACTGCTCGGCTTCAGCCTCAAGTATCAACCTTAGCCTTACTTGAGAACGACTCAATATTGATGAATTGTTCTGAAATTGGCACTAGCTGAAAGTCGAGTGCGCCTTAGGCTTAGAGCCATGGATCCAGGCCCTTTCCTCTTCGACTACTTAACCTATTCTTTATGGCGATCCAGTGATTAAGAGGCATATCCTCTACATAATTCGGAAACGTGAATTGCAATTCATAACTGTTTTATTGGTATTGAAACGCTGTGAAACGGTGCATTCTTTTCTCGTTGAAGATTTGATTGCATTATATCGATATGATCATCACCACGATCAATCTTGTGTATCGTGAATAGATTTCGAAAAAAAAAGAAATGAAAATAAATTACGAAAGATACAATATGCATGGAATAATGCGTAAAATGATTGAAAATCTTTCAGCATCTGTTACGTATTTTGATCGAAAATAACATTTCGTAAACGATTGATTGAACATGAATGAATATTGATGCGTATAATATTTGTATAAGCAAGATATTGAAGGTGGGAGAACGGTGATGTGCTTATGCAACATCAAGTATTATTTTCGTATTTTTGCACACTGTAAACAAATTTTGTTTTTTTTGCATTTCGTTTATGAAAAGAAAAACGATTTCTGTTCCGTTCTCGTTTCAGAATTCAAAGTATCTCCATCATTGATATTCTAATTATCGTTATTATCATTATTGCTGTTGTCGCCATTCTTTCAATACTTTTTACGATTAGCATAAAGAAAATAATAGCAGTATTACTATTATTCATCTTTTTATTATCACTATCAAAAACGCTATAATTACTATCATCTTTATAAATATCCTCACAATCACTATCGCAATACTTGTGCCTAACTCTATCATTCTCATTTTCCATATGCATACATGAAAACGCATTAAAACAGAGCATTCAAAAGAACACGATTAATAGTAAATGCGAAATAGGCATAAAATTGTTTATTACTAAAATAGTAGCATTGAAATGAACGAAAACATCCTAAACACTTTCAATAATCGAATGGTAATATTAATTATCGTTTGTCACTGTGGTAAATGGAATTAGATTTAAACAATACACATTTGGGNGGGATGTGAAGGACGATGGTGATTGTGAGTGAGCAAACTCATGCAAAAACAATGGTGCTGATGGTATGGAATTGTTGATTGATTGCAAAATGCATCGCTAATATAATATAATATTGATCTGAAATTCATAATGGCACATGATAAAATACGCTAACCGATAGAATAATTTTGATGTTCACAATAACCGTATGGAAGATGACATTAATAGAAATAATTGAGTCGTCGCAGTCTTCTTAATCATGAGAATAATAACAATAATGAGAAAACTCTCATAGTAATGAAATGAAAAAAAGCTAATCACTTTGATAGTAGTAATGGTGACAGAGACATAAAAAATTATTCCTTCATCCTTACACTCGTTTCTTTTGCACATGATATGCAATCCTCATTTTTTGTGTAGGCACAACCACAGCTCAAGGGAGATGGGGCTAATCTTGACTATTTCAATGCTACGCTCCGAATCACACACAAAATTAAAGTGTCGAGGCTTCGTGGCCGTTCCTGTTCATCGCGAGCCTCGACGCAAATTTAAACGTTGCCGAAAGCTGACATCTGGATCGAATGGCTTTCCAATGCTATATCCGCTAATGAGACACTGAGAAGGGCGTCATTCTCTCCTAAATTCAGCTAACAATAAGCTAATTCGTATTTCCAACTGGTAAAAAGCTGCCGACTGATGAATAGAACAGAAACAATGCAGCGGTTTCCTTAAACTGATATAGTTTGCTTTTAACTCTTAAAAAAGGAGAAGAAATTTGTAATCAGCCCAAAGAATTTTTGAGGTTTTAGTGTAGTCTGCCGCTTACCCCGGAAAATTTTCAGCTTTGAGTGTGAACTGACTCGTTGAAAATTTAAACGACTTCAACAAATCATGAAGAAAGAGAATTTAGAGCTCGATAAGGTGATTAATTGAAGATATTTTCAGCTGCATTAGTTGAAAGCTATTATTCATTGCACCTGTCACCATCCAACATTAAGCACCACTCTTGCAGCAATAAAGATAAAATCAAAATTTAGCGATAATTCATCAAGATAAATTGAGATAAGAAAGAGGACGGTGGAACTGGTTCTAGAATTGAATTATTCATTGTGTCCCATCGAAAAGCTCAAAAAAAATTCCCATAAGATACATTTTTATCGCTTCGATTCTGATTCTAAGCAATATCGACGAAAAAAATGTGCAATGGAATATTCCTAATCGTTACATATCATTCAACCATATCATTGTTTTGATTATGACTTTGAGTCTGATTATGAGTCTTGTCTTTATTATGCGTCTTGATTATGAGTATCAGTCGATCCTGTGTTAGATCCTGACCTAAGCCTGATCATGAATCTAAGAGTAACAAATGAATGATTACTGCAGATCATCTAGCGTTTGGAGGTTGTTTTACTACGGTCATTCATTCCTTGAATTCGTTGTTCTACTAGATTTACAAGAGGTCGTCGCTTGAAAAGTAACTGTTTGTGAGCGAGGAACTCAATGAATGAACGAGGCTCATATGGTGGCTCAGAATTGGAAATGAAGTTTGGAGTGGAGATTCTTGGATGGAGCCTTACTATAAGAGCTTATTCATTTACTCTAATCCAGTTTCTCTTCTGCCCTCACACTAGGGCCATTCCCGATGCTATACCACGAGTCGAATTCAATCCTACCATACAGAGCGAAAGATGAGAAATGGAAAGGACTCCTTCAGCTAAAGATGGCTGGCGCAGTTCGCCTGAATTGAGCGATACTGCGACTTTGTGATAGCATCAAAAAAAAATGTAAACCTAAGCCAAAGTTACTCTCAAACAACACCAATAGGCGAATGAAGGCAATTATCGAAATTGGCCTAGCCAAAATAATAATGACAGCAACGAAAGTGTTCGTTTTTAGAGTTGAAATTTAAAATGTACTCTGATTTCCGGAAATTTGATCGTCTGCAAGCCAAACAGCTGAACAAGCGTTGGATCTCACGCTGACTACATTGAATCATAGTGAGTGCATGAAAATAATGATGCTAAAAAAACGTTACTCTCGTAGAGATTAGGCGAAAACAGAGCTCACTGATAATTTATTAGCAATTATTCAGTCAAAGTTTATCCCATTTGATAATCAGCAATTTTCAAATATTATCAATAAATGTTAAAAACAAAACTCCATAAAGTTATTGCACAATATTGTTGGTAATTATGATAATAATATCATATGAGAATCCTGATAAAAATGCTCAAATAACACCATTAACACGCGTGAATGCAAAATAATCCCACAGAAATTCAGTAACATTTTAAATTGATTAATTCTTCGGATATGTTGTACTATATGTGAATAATGCAAAAATAGTAATTCAATATTGTCAGAATTACATTACATGCTCGGACGCTATTTCAATGTTTCTCTTTAATGAACTATATATATATAT